CCCCAAGGAAATCTGTAAAAGAGATGTTACTAACTCAAACACTTTCACTCTGTAAAGGAAATGTAGATTCAATTCCTTTTGTGCATCTGAAATGCTGCTGCCAAACCTGTGTTATGAAAGGTGAGGGAAAACATAGAATGCTAATAAAAAATAATTGGTGACACCAAAGCAAGAAGATGTGCATGTCACAGATAATAAATTTGACTTTGCACTGAACATAAAAGGATTTGCCAAAATTTTTGGCTGTCTTTTCAATTCAGACAGGGGTTTACAATGTCAAAAGTAGCCATCCAGGTTTGATCTCCGGTTGGCCCAAACATGGAATGACTGCTGACCTGTCCAAGCACAGGACCTTGGCCAGGCCTCAGGATTGATTTTTCCCTGAGTAATCCCAGAGACCGTCCCCTCTTCAGACAAAGATTTCAAACACATAGGACTTGCTGTGGCTGCCCTGCAGTATTGGATGAGCTTCATCAACACAGTATCACCCTGCTGTTGTATCTTTCCTTTTAACCCTGCTGAAAGATTACAGCATTTGTTCTCTGGGTTTGATGTGATCTGGTTTTGCTTACACCCTAATGATCAACCATGAAAAAACTGAGTGACATATACTTGTTATGAATTAGTAAATGCTGTTAGTTAAGCTTTTGAATGTGTGTTTAATTTTCAGGTGGATGCATAATTACTCTGTGACCTGTTTAGCATTGGAGACTCATTCCTTTCAAAGACTGGAGAAAAAAAAGATGTTACATTCAAACTGAAATGGAAAAGGACACAAAGGACTTCTTTTCTGTATCACTTTAAAAAGATTTCTGAACAAATTTGTTTTCGAAGTAGTTTGCTCTCAGTCCTAAAATGATAACTGCCAGCAGCTGGCTGGGCTAGTCTGAAAAGTAATAAAACTCACATGACCCAAAATTGTACAATACTGAGACCGTTTGTAACTACAGCTAGAGTTATTTGTCATTCTGGAAAAAATAGTGAAGTGTCTGGGGGTTTTCTTTGTTACAGTTTTTCTTAAAAGGGATTCTCTTTTCCAGAGGCAGCAGCAGAAGGGATTTCTGTTGGTTACTTTTTTTTCAAAGCTTAGTGATAACAAACAAGCAATGCAATTTTGGCAGGAAAGTATCGCAGCCCATGTTAGAGAATAAATTGTTCCCTTGATGATGTACTGAGTGATAACTCTTCTTGGATTTATGGATTTTTCTGTCTATTTGCATAAAAAGTCATTACAGCACCCTTTTAGCTGATAACAGTAGCACATCGGGGCATGTTTCTGCATGTCTTACAACTCCCTGGACAAGCTATTGACCAGGTAGGTCACTTCCAGTGGAGCAGACAGTCATTTTGTGCACTCTTTATTGGATGGAAGATAAGCCTTTTTGCTCATCTTCAAGGTCCTGTCTCCCCTCTCTCTTTGCAGAGTATGGTACCTTCAGAAATCTCTCTCTTCTTTTTGTTTAAGATTTCTGGTCTGAGACATCACAGGGAAAGAAAGAGAAGAAGGAAAAAGCACAGCTTTTTAAATGGAGGAAAGTCATTCCTCTTACTTGCCAAATTCAAAAAAAGCAATGCTTGTCCAGCTCTGCTGTTTCAGTGTTGATTTCAGTGCTAAAAATGATGCATGCCTGTTATATTGGAGTGGATTTCTCCAGAGAGCATATTTTCATTCAGATTCCTGTAACTATTGACCAGGAACAAGGTTAAATTGAGCCTGTTTAAAAATTAACCCGTTTAAAAAAAATGAATTACATAACGCTGTGGCACTCTTCAGGCAATCCTGTAGCTTTCTAGCATCAAGTCATCTCTGATGGTGTGCAGGCTGCTTTTAAAGGCAACGCGTTCCCAGCACTTCCTTTGCCTGGGAAGTTCTGTGCTGTTGCTTGAAACTGGAAATTCTCTGATTCTTTTTTATTGTTGTAGTGTGGAAATGAATATACACACTCATTTCTGCATTTATTTTCCTGGACACCATTTTTCAAAAATACACCTTTAAATGTGCCCGTTCTTAATTTCATGCCCCTAAAACAGCTCAAGCATGTTGATACAGGAATACAGGGATACAGGAAAATGCAGGAAACTGTAAGTGCTTTAGGAATCCTCTCTGTCAACACAGCTACCTTCAAGGCTGTGTTTTGACTGTCAGAGCAGGGGCAGGTGACAGAACCACGTTAGGAGGCAATAATCCAAAGCTCGTAGTAAATTTAAATCCCCTGGTTCAGAATCAGCTGTGATACTTGCTGTCAGGAAAACAGAGCTCAGTAAGGGTTAGATCTCTTCTCCTACTGTATTTTCATTCGGGTTAATGTTTAAGCCGTGCCGGTGGCTGTGTCCAGGAGAGCAGTGGGTGCTTGTCGAGCTATAAACGGCGAGAGGCAGGGTGTGTGGGAGCCCGCCCGCCAGCCGTGGGAGCCCGGCGAGCACCTTGGCCCGGCCCGGCCCCGGCGCCCTGCGAGCTCTCGGCTCCCCGCTCCCACCAGCTCGCTCATTGGTCGCAGCTATCGCCCTCCTCGCAGCCGCTGCTGCTGACAGGGTATCTCTCCTCGGCTGAGATTACTGCGTATGACCTACTTTGAAAATGGTGTGAACCAAGGTTCACAAATTGTCTTGGAAGGGTGCCACGAGGTTGGTGTGCAAACATGCGCGGTCTGGGAGGCTTCTGGTGGAGCAGAACTGGCTGTCTCCGTGTCCTTCCAGATGCAGCCCGCGTTCCTTTGCCAGCCCCGGCTTCACAATCCATCTTTGTGCTCTCGAGTGCGGCGTATTGATTTCCCGGGCAGGCCTGCTAGGTTAGAGAGCCTCTGGCCAATAAGTCCTCCATGCCTTTTTGCTCTCAAAACAGCTGAAGTAGTAATAAAGATGAATAAAGGGCTTCAGGCTGAGCTGTCAGCCGAAGCCTAGTAGTAGTAGTAGTAGTAGTTGTAGTAAAAGCAGTAGTAGTGGTATCAGAATACAAGTCACAAAGGAGAGCTAAGCAGTGACATTTTATTTATACGGTTCATCTGTTTACTCTAATCCGATTGTTTATAGTGTAATGTAAACTTACAATTACCAAAGCTGCTTTCCCTGCCAGATGAACAGTTTAACCTGTATGCCATTCCAAAATACTGATAGAGGAGAAAATTCCACAGGAAGGAACAGCCTGGAGTATTGCAATCTGAAAGCTGTACGGGTCTGGGATTTTTTTTGTTTTTTTCCTTCATTGTCTCCCTTATATAAGATCTGTGCTGCAGAGGAAAGTTTCCACAGACTCAGAAAGATCATACACAGTTTCAAATCTACTTGAAAGATAAGGCTTTTTTTTTTTTTTAATCCCCTCCCCAAGGCTAATATATTACATACCTACTCAGCACAGGGCTGCCTGTTATCTGATAAGATAATTAGCGTCAGACATGAGAAGAAGCGTATGTACTTTTAAAAGGAGCATTACTGAACGTTCACAGAGAGAGTTAAAGAGCACACTTATCAGAGCTTTTCCAGGCAGAAGACTTGTGCTAGTATTTGACTTTGGGTCAAGAAGTCCTTTAATAAATTAGCAATGCAAATGTGTTTTACTTTATACATGTGGAATTTAAGTGTTTGGGACAGTCACAATAGAGCACTTTGGGGCTTTTTACAGATTTAACATGGGCCAAGAGTTCTAACTCAGACTCTGAGTATTTTTTTGTTTGTTTGTTTTATCCTCTGTAAAGACATCTGTTCTACATGGCTCTCCATCTTGGCTGCAGTTCAATTTTCACTGACTTCCATGAGCTCCATTATGAAACCCAAGTGCAATCCTCTCTTTGCACCAGGATCAGCCTGTGACTCCTGAACAGACCTGCAGCTTACAAATGCCCTCAGCCACCCCTCCCGAAGCACATGGCTATAGTGAGCAGCCACCACCTTGAGGAAAGTACACCTCATTCTCCAGCTTGCCCCTCCCCTGCCAATTGAGTCACAAGCCCTTGAAGCCATGCTTTAGTACTTTAAAAATAGAGAAAGCTGAGACAAAGACCTCTATCAGCTCCAAAAGCTGAACAACCACGGATGCTTACCCTACATGAGGTGGTCTTTGCCAGTTGTTAAACAGCTCAACTGATCCATTGATCCATGGTGATTGAAAGGGAAGAGGCAGGACCTGAAATGAGAACTTGACATCTCATATTTGTGGGTTCTGTTTTTGAAGCAGCTGGCCCAAAGGCAGGAGCTCCTGTCCAAGCATGCCTCGTAGATCTGCTGCAACAAACCCTTCTGGCCTGACAGTTGTAATAATAAATCCCATAAATGAGCTGACATTTTGGCCTGGCAGGGCCTTTCGTAAGCCTCAGCTGGGAGCAATTATTTAATGAAAAATTTTAATAGATTAATAGTTTGCCCATGAGTTTGTAGCATAGAAGGCGCTGGATTGTTTTTAGTAATGGTTGTTTTCTTTTAATAGCATATGTGGAGTTTCTGGGGGATGTGGCAGTGTTCCTCACATAAAAAAGTGGGGATGGGACTCTGAGAAATGTGCAGTGTCCTTGTTACTTTCGTAATTTGGTGTGACTGTGCAAGGTGTGATGGCAAGCAGGGGAAACTGCAGCCAAAGCAGGGGTTCAGTTCTGGTCCCTTTAACAGGAGAGGAAGAAGCATTTTCAGCCTAGCCCAAAGCATTTTCAGCATAGCTACAACACAGGTTGTAGCAGATAGGAGCGTCAACTGCATGGGAAATACTCCTCAGAATGTTTTTCCAATTAATTTCAAAGGAAGAAATCGTCACTGATGAAGGGAGGAGGAAAATCCTTCCCACCTCATAAGTCTCATTAGTCTGATGGAAATATCTAATGCATCAGCTTGTCGTGCTTTGCTGTTTAAGCAATCAGCCATTCTGTTGAAGGAGCGGATTGTAAAAAGCATGTGGTTGGAGTGGTATAAAGCAGGCCAACCCAACATTTCTTTTGTGTCGCCTTTTGTTTTAGAAAACTTTATGGAGTAACAGCACAGATCAGGGAGACAGAAATACATCTGCTGCCAGGCATGCTCAGCCTTCAGCTCCTGGTCTTCTGTCTCCTCCCAGTTCCTCCCAGAAATGAAAGAAGGCTTGAGCAGAAGACCTGCAAGACAGTCAGTGAGTATCAGTGTTAGAAATATTGCCTGACACAGACATGGATGCAAAGTACTGCAATGTACCTTGCCACTGCCAGATGTCTACTCATCTGACATTGCGGAAGGATCTTAATATTGCTTTGTATACCTCAGCTGACACTACTCACCTTGTCACATCTTTTGTATGAGGTGTTTTTATTTCACAGCCTCTGCTGAAACATCCACTCAAGCTAAATTAGCAGAAGAAATGTAACATGGTCTCTCCAGGTCTGAGCAAATGGACATGGAAATGGGGTATTTGTGGCTTCAGTAAATGGAGGTTTGACTTGAATCTCCCATCTAATCTTCCAGCTAATGTGTGGTCTGGTAAGCTTCATTAATGGATTGGTCTTTTAAAGAGTGAGATCCTACAGCTACCTCCCAAACTTTAGCTGTCCTCTGGTAATCAAGTTGACAAAAATTAATCTCTAGCATCAGCTGTGAGGCAGCCAGGAACTTGATCCCCATTACTGAAATTTCAGGGTAGTACAGGGTACTGTTACTGCCCTTGTAACTTTTGCCAGTGAAAAATGGTAGTGCATAATTTTTTATTGGATCACTCTTGATACTGTAGACCATCAAATGCTGCTAACATGCATGGAGGAACTGTGCATATGAGAGGAAGCTCCTTGAAATCATTCTGTTCCTCCTCCTAAGGTGGAGCCAGAGGAGTCACAAGGATCTATTGTTTTCCTGTTTCCTAACTCCTCATCTCTGGAAGCTGACAAGGCTTCTTCCATACACACATGAAACCATTGGAGAGCTGAGGAGATCACGTGGGGAATTATAGTGCCTGCTTTTCTGTAGATGTTATCTAAGTTTTCATATTCATTATTGCAAGCATAAGTATTGCCTTCCCCTAATTATCTCAGTAGCTACCTGAAGCTGTCGTTGCACTGCAGAGCAAGTGGCCAGAAGTGAACCAAACAAGTCAAAGATACCATTTATGTTAAACAGCTGTATCAGAAATCATGTTGATCATGCTAGCTAAATACCATCTTATTTGCAAATCCAAAATCAATTCCTAAAAGATTTAAGTTTAAACCAAACCAGACATGGTTTTGCACTGAAATATGAGAATGCCCATGTCTTCTACACTGGTTTCACCAAAATGGATTTAAAATTATGCCTTTAGAAAAACCAGGATACTTTTTCCTAGCAGTTTAGATCTAGATGATGACTGTAGAAGCAGAGGAGTGCTTTGAAATTCTTTGTTTCATAACTATTCCAGGTGCTGAGGGCCTTTGTTAGACATTTGTTGCACCTCTGTGAACTTTTGGTCTTTAGTATTTGCCTACAGAATATGCACAGAAATAGGAAAACTTCATCTCCATTTCACAAGGACCAGACTGTTGTCTTTGCTCTGATGAGTGCAGTGCAGCTGTGATGGTCCACATAAAATGATAACTACATTTGCAATCACATGCTTGGAAAACTGGAACAAATGGGAGCAGACTGTCAGTTTACCATGCACATATTGCCATGGGTCTGTTCATAAACTTCTCCCCATTTCTTCCCTCCCTGTTATGCCTGGAGGTTCTGCTTCATTGCATGGAGTCCTGAGTAGGTTTTCAAACTTGATCCTGAAGGCTTTGAAGCAAATGGCCTTCTTTGTTTCTGAGATTGGGCCGCCCTTTATGATCATAATAGCACACAAGTGCATTTCATAGACGCAATGAAACTGTCAAGCAAAAGAAGGAAGCTTCTGGACACAGGACCTTCCCAGAAGTTTCATCTAGACTGAGGAATTCCTGCAATGAATAAGATGTCTGTAGACATCATCACTTTCTGAAAATGTCAAACTTCCTATGTAAGTTACAGAAACACACAAGTGCAAGTGTAACCCCTACAGATTTAATCAAGCTCCTTCTCCTATGGGGTGCTAAGGAAGGAAAAGTGGGAGAAATTATTGTTGCTATTTTTACATGCTTGGGAGCTGCTAAGCGATTATAATAATGGGAGTCATAAATTACTTCACCAATGCATTTGGAGATGAGACAGTGAACTGACTCCTCAGAGGAATACAAGATACGTAATCTGAATGGCATATGCTGCAAAGGAGAGGGCTCAGGCACTGAGAAGGGAAAATTATGGATGAAGCTGGATTTCTGTTCTGTTCCCCTGCTTTAATTCATTTGTGTTGCAAGCAAAGCAGGCACTGCATTTGACATCTGCAAGTTTAGTGAAAGTCTTTGCACCTACTACCTGAAGGGTGGTTCAGCAAAAGAAATTCAAAAGTTTATTCAGTGGATTCTTTTTTCCTTTTGCTGTTCCCAAAAAAGAAGCTCATTCATATGCACTTGACAGTGAGAGGTAAATTTTCTGTGCAGCACAAGGTGACTTAACCACATGATTCTCAGGAACAGTTGCGGGAATGCTGCAGCAAAATCCTCATGCCAATGCATGTGAAAACATTGGTAGATGAATCCACTGCCCTGTGGCAATGGGAATCCTGGTCAAAGAATTTTATTCCGAGTGCTGAAACAAATAAAATCCATGGCACAAATCTCCTGTCTGCAGCACTGTGATTCTCTGTCTTTGAGATTCTGTGCAGACTTCTTCCTGGTGCATTGCATTAATATTAAATTAACAACACGCTACTCACATGGAACTTACATTCTAAAAAAAGCTCACATTATGCTGTAAGCCTTTATTACAAAATAATAGCAGTCGTGAGGTTAAAGTTTGTTCATACAGTTTTCTATAGAACATCTGTACATTTTTTATGGAGGATAAAAGCTACGTTCCACGTGTAGCTTAGTCATACGAATATAGATAGATAATGAGTAGTTTATTGAATTTCCTTTTAGATTTTACCATTCACTTATATTCATATAAAGCATGCAAAACATACCAGATTTTTGTAAGTGGTACTTGCTTTTCAGAAACTCGAATTTCTCTGTCAGTGTTCTGCAGAGGATGTGACCTGATATGAAAAGGACCTATTCCTCTAGGATTTAGCTTGTAGCTACAGGCATAAATCAGAGATTCTCTGAAGTAGATTGTAATCCACACTGGAGAGAATAAAGAGAAATCACTAGGTCCATATGGAGCAGGACCTTGAAAAGCTTTATGAGGACCACATTCACTGGAACAGTTACCCGGCATCCAAACCATGGAAGCCCACACAGGCTTCAAAACCAAAATATTTCAGGGCTTTTGTGGCCTTCCATGATGCAGAAGCTGGACAGGATTTTTATTGAATCTGGCCTTAAATAAGCAAAAGAATTTTGTAATCAGTGCATGGTTTAACAGGAAGCCAGAAAAATTCTTTTATTATTGGAATGATATGGTGGGAAAGCTTAGCCCTAGATACAGTCCTGGCTGCTGAACTCAAAAAAAATTTGCCTGCAAGCAAAACTAGCTGGGAGTACAGTAAACTCTTAATTAACCTGAATTGGAAAAGGTATGTATTGCAATCTCATGTTTTTACTTGTGTATGTAAGTCATGCCTTACTTTAACAATGCTGACCCTTCACCCCACAAAAATGTTTCCAAGACCTTAAACAGACCTGAACCTTTAACCCTGATCCCCCTTCTCTTTTTCCCATATTGTAGAAGTACTTTCAATTATTGGTGGAGAACTCTGGATTCAGTTACAGAGCTCCTAACTGCCATTCCACATGTCAAACAGCAGGGACTATTAGAAAGCAATATGTAGCAATCCTCAGCCCTGGTGATATTTCAGCATTAAGCCTCAATCCTGAAGCAGTTGCTTGCTGTATTGCCAGGAGTCTTAAAGTTTTGGTAGATTGCATGCAGAACAGCAGATAAGTGACCACTGCATGATGGCGTAGATTCTAAAGGGATTATTGCATTGTGCTGTGCTGTGAACTTGAAATTATTCCAGTGCTCCCCAGTGAGACAGATGCCATGGTGGACCCAGCAGGAGGGGTAGGTATTCTAACTGCAATTGTTTTTTCTCACCTTGAAGTTATATTTTCATGTTATAGACGCAAAGATTTGCGTGGCATTCAAAAATGTCCAAAGGGACATTAACCAGCATCTGAGAGCATTGTGGAGACTCAGATAAGTGGACAGGGCTTGTTTGCGATCTAGATGAGTGGATCTGAGGTCATTCCTTTATCTTCAGAGTATACCTGTAAGTCATGATGATTTCACCTGGAGCAGCGTGGAAGCATTTCCATAAACAGGGTGTGCATTGTGTAGCAAAATCAAAGCTATGCAGTAATAACTACCCTGCAGCTAAATGGATACTTTTTCCACAGCTGAATCCTTAGAGGGATGATGTAGTTTTTAGTCATTCATTGCCATGTGACTTATTAAAACAATTAACAGGCAAAAAAAGTGGTTCTTTTGAGTGGTTTGGCAAAGACTATGCAGGATGAAGTTCAAGCAGAGTGAGTTTCTACCTCTGTTGGTAGCAGTGTGTGAAGTGGCCAGGGCTGTGGTTCTCTTCTTAGCTCCCCCTCTAGCTCACTGTTTGACCTTGGAAAAGTCTCCTGGCCACTTTGGGTTTTCAACTCATTATGAACTCAAAACTTGTATCAGCTTCTCTAAAAGATTTGCGGGCTCTCCAGGCAAACCTGGGTCCAGCTCTGGGGTTGGGCCTGATGGGTTTATAATTTGAGCTCTGTGTACACAAGGTTTGAGGTTTTGACATGTAACCAGATGAAACATAATGGTTTCAGCTGAGTTTTGCTTTGAATTCTTGCATTCAGCTGCACTCCTCACTTAAAAAGAAGGCCCGAAGGTGGCAGAGCTAAGTGAAGAAACTGTCTACTGAGGGCTTCTAGGAGAAAACCAGATAGTTTCACCAAGTCTGACCTAAAATTAAAGCTCTATGTGTATAGTTAACTGTGGTTTTATATCCAGTGCAATTGCCTGTACCGTGTCCCAGCAGGAGATCAGGAGACACAGGTGCATAGCATTTAAAACCTGCACATTGAAAGAACTCTGCAGACTAACCTGGAAGCCTTGAGAGTGACAACACAGATTTTCCCTGTCTGAAATGCCTTGTCT